CTTTTCTTCCGTACCTTATTTCTAATGTGCTTAATTTTGGTTGAATCCGTATGCCTTCCATGTAATCTTGCATTGATGGCCTGCTAATGTGCCTTTCATAGAGCCTGTCTGTCAAAACTGTCAAATCTACAAAAGACTTGTTTGATTATGAACCTTTCATCCATCCTCTTTGCAAAGTAAACATTGCTTTTCCCACCCTGCGCATTCCATCTCTTGCAGCGACTTAGAGAACGTATGTAATCAATGTCTTTGGGACAGCATTTCTTTCTAACCGCAGCAAAATGCTTTTCAAAATAGCAGATCACAAAGGCCTTTGTTTTATCTGGACAAATCGGTGAGTCATCATGAAAGGAAAACTTAAAATGAGTTCCTTTCGAATGCAAATGGTCTTGCTGAGAGGGTGAGGACGCCTCAAGTCCATGGCTGCTGATCTCGGTAGTATTTGGCAGATGAGAAAAACTCAAACTGGAATTAAGTCTGTGTATTACTTGTTGTACATATTTTTCTGATGTCATGGCATATGATATAGTACTGGTGGGCTCATCATGATATACTGCCACGACAACATCTTCATATCCAATTTGGGGTAATAGTGGGCGTGCGTGCAAGAATAACATTTAATTTCTCTATCAGCCCAGGAGACCTTTGAAAACAGGCCCTTCCTATATTTGGCATTGGGTCCTTCAGGATGCTTGTCACACCCCAAAAGTACTCAGCAAATTTGAATGATGGTAGATGCACAGAAGCTGGAGCTAATCCAGTTCGTTCTCTCTGCCGCAAACCCGTTTGTACTAACACAGCAGTACGCTTGATGCCACCATAGTAGGCATTAGGATACCAAAGATGGTCATGGTGAGCTCATCTTCATCTAAGCACATCCTGAGATTCTTGCTTCTCACAATGTACTCCAGCTCCTGCTTGATGTTTTCCTCGATAGTCTCCAACTTGCAGCACATATCTCACCCTTTTTCTAAAAATATTGAAATAGTTTGGCATTTGAATAGGGGGCTTATGCGGGTGCTTGGTGTTGAGTGTAGAGTGTATTGTTGTGGAGGCGGAGCCGGGGGGCTTTTCACAGGCCGTAGACGGCGGGTTTAGATGGTGGTTGCACGCCGTTATCGTCGGCGCTGAGCAACATCGGGCCTGAGGGAATTAGGTTTGTAGGGGACAACAGCGGCAGCATCGGGCCAATTGAGGTGACATCACGAGCGGTGTCGTGGTGCGGTTGTGCGACGTGCAGTGGGTGGCAATGCAGAAGAGACAGCGACGTGACGCTGAGAGGATGGCACCAGTGTGCAGGAAAAGGAGCGCGGGTGAGTGGCCGCTGGCGGTGCGCGCTGCTTTAATTTCCACGCGGTCTGTTGTGCACTTTGCTTGTTGCATGGGTGTGGAGTAAATGTAGCTAACTCGGGCGCACCGAAGCAACCGGGAAGTGCAGGCGGTGTGTAAGGGAAACACTGGCGGGTCACGAGGTGGGGAGAGCGTCGGCCATGGTGCGCTCCCTGCGCGAGATTGGGTGGACGGAGGAAAAAGGAGGGGAGAGGGGTTCCTATGCTGACATGTTTTACTCTGAATTTGGCATACTAAAAAGTACATATGTATCTTAATTACATATTTGTTAAGTTAGAGCAACTTTTATAATTAATTTCATATGGAAATGGCTTCCACCTAAGTCTGGGGACAAAATCTTTACACAAGATTTGGTCAGTTCCTTAATGCTTTCACACAGTAGTATCTACATTCTGAATTCCAAAGAATTGAACAATATTTTGAATGTTGGGATTATAAAACAAATTATGCGCTGCATATCAGCATACATTTGTAGCGTTGATTGATTTTTCTGGAACTGGCACCACTAGCTGCAGCCGTGCCTATCTAGGGTAGGCACCCAAACCTATCTACGGTGTGAGAAAGCTCAGGTGCACCTGCTAGACACCGACACAGACTCCTAGAAGCCTATGTAGGGTAGGAGGCGGCGCCTAGAAGGGCCTCAGGTGACCCTGGCAGTGGACAAAAGACACCACTCGTGTAATCGCAGTCACGCATGCACCCACTTGTGCCTAACGTGTTCGTGGCATTGCACTGCATCTGGCATTGTTGTTATGCCCTGCCAGATTGGTAGCGTGCCTGAGGTGCATCTCATTGAAGGCACCTACTGCTAACAGTACCACCATCTACTCAAGTAGCCCATCCTTGTCGTACATGTAGTTCACCTGGCCATGGGTTCATGTTCGTCGCCAATACTACACCTGCGCAGGCTTCTCTATTTATATGGCGTGTTCCATGTTTAGGACTGCACCGGCAGTCTGCAAGCAGGCATAGGTCAGCACTGGGTCACTCAGCCTTCCAAATTTCTCCTTGCGATAGGTTCCTGGTATAGATAGCAAAACAGCGCCTGCTGTGGTCCATGTGCCAGGCGGCGGTCCACTAGATAAATTACAAGAATATACATTGTGAAGCCATTAATGCTACTTTCAGCAGCTTTATCTTATTTGGTCCTCTTTTTAGGGCTTAGCATGTGCCGGTGTGAATTTTTATTTGGAACAAATATAGCTACAAACATGAAGTCCTAACTATATTTGTTCCTGTTTTAAATCTAAAAATTATGTGTCCTATGTGTGCACCAGTGTATGCTATATTTCTCACAAAGTAGGTTCCCACTCATCTGGCAGGAACATGGATAAGGGTAAGAGCGTCATCGTCAACATGGATAAGGGTAAGAGCATCATCGAGGAACCAGCGCCGCCACTTCCATTGGATGGTTTAGATGCCCATGACCTGATGCCACCACTTCCATCTGCTGGTTTGGGTGCCCATGTCCCCGTGCCACCACTTCCATCGGGAGGCTTGGGTGGCCATGTCGCCGTGCCACCACTTCCACCGGGCGGCTTGGGTGCCCATGTCCCCGTGCCATCACTTCCATCGGGCGGCTTGGGTGCCCATGTCCCCATGGCCCAGGTACTACTTTATTTAGTTGCCTTTGAATGAAGAATGATGGTATTGGCTTACCCCGCTCACGTGCCTAAATGAGTTCAAGTGGTAGTTTAGTTCTCTGGGTCCACCTATACACGCGAAGATGTTCTGACTCTTCATATTTGCTTAACTTTGTTGTAGGATCCAGTTTTACTTGACATATCACGCACAAGCATTCTAAGACAGATCCTTCCCAAGATAGGAACGGTTATTCGCACCGAGGGATCAGTTAAGGTGGATAGCAAGAAAACGATGGTCTGGCTCAGCATTGAGCTTCCTTCCCAACCGGGCAGCAAGGGCTTACCGGAAGTTCAGACTTTCCACAGCATCCCTTGCATGACCGAATATAAGGCACAAGAAAGCGTTTCTGAGCAAGCAATCTGCTATTTTATAGCGAGGCTGAATATTTGCATCAATGATCTAAATTATCCTGCCTTTAAGGAAACGTACAAGCAACTGAACCACTTCATGTCCTGGTCCCAGCTTGTTCAGACCAGGTATGATATGCTGCGCGTACAGACGGACAATCTATTGAAGTCTCATAAAAAACTTCTTGACCGCCTTGGCTCCATCTGTTCAAGCTATGATGATATCCTTTCGTTAGCGGCTCCTCTTACGTCCATTGGAGCAGAGCCCTGCCCTGGACTAGACCCACGGTATGTCCAGCTTGTGGAACAGCTATTCAGCCTTGTGCTAGAGAACACCCCTATGTACATCCGTTCTGGGAGTCTTTAAAGGTATGGATGCTCCTTGGTTTGTGCCGGTTCCCAAACACTCTTCTGTTTCTTCCGAATGACTCGCTAACCTGTGCTTATGCACTCCCTGGCAGGGACACAATCACCAGAGCTCTCTAGGAAGTCCGGGGGTACTACGTCTAGAGCCCTATGCTATCCTAGCAGTGTCTTGAGGACGCTGTAACTTAGTGCTATGGCACAATGCTATGTACCATCCAGCGAATATTCCATCACTAATACCAGCACATGTGCAGCTAGAAGCCCATGCCTCATTCCATCCATCTAGAGTCTCGGTCTCCAATATGTTGTTTAGCAGTGTTAGTCTCCTATGCTATTCTAGCATGTGCGTTGTTAAGTATCTATGTGTGTACCTTTGGTTGTGTGTATTCTCGCATATGTACTGTCCAATGGCCTTATTTGCCACCTTAAGATAAATATCTGTGTTGGGTGTTTGTGATGCCATGTATTCCATATTGGAACAGCAGGACCGTTCCCTAATCTAGATATATTATCTGGTAATATGCGCAACTACATTGAGGACTGGCTGATGGCAGTTCATTTTAGTGGTGCTCTAATCAGTTGGTTAAAAATACAAGAAAGCTGACCAACTAATTTGACGTCGACTGAAACACTCTCAATACACCCACACCTAAAACCTTTATCAGAGCATCGCTTACCTTGTGTGCTAATAACCACTGTGGTGTCAAAGGTGCAGGTCTGAATGGCTTGTAGGTAACAAGCATTGGAACAAGAACAAACCCAGAAAACTAAGTTTGCCAGCAAGTAAAACAACCTATAGAATTCTGAAATGGTGCGTGTATGCATTTACTATCTGAGAAGAGAACCTAACACAACCACACCAATAGGTCCAGGTTCGAGTCGGTGCTTACAAAACATCGAAATATGGTCCCCTCCGTTTTTTTAGCTTCGTACTTCAGTAATTGACCACTCGGGTAGCAGTACACCGGTCTGTCTCTGGCCGTGCATTTAAAAACACACCCTCTATCCCATTCATCTCCACACAACACCACCGCTCTGCCCTCGCTCAGGTTTCTTGCACGCTGCAGGTGATGAGCTATGCCCGCAGCAGCCGCGCCAACCAGCAATGTAGCACCAGCGAGGAGGGGACGTTCCCAACGGCACCGCGGAGGGCATCCCGCTACGTTGCCAACAATGTCCACCCACCGTCGCCCACAGAAGGCCCTAGGCTGGACGGGCATACGAGAGCGGAGTTGGGGCAGCTGGGCTACGGAGATCCGCATCCCACACACCCGACTCAAGCTCTGGATCGACATGTTTCGGCATGCCCTTGAGGCGGCTCTGGCCTATGATGTCGCCATGTTCTGCTTCTATGGTGAGTGCCTCCCTAGACAACGCAAATTCAACTTCCCGGCCGTCCAGTGGTCTGCCATCCCTGACCACCTTCGCATCCACCTCAGCATAGCCACCATCAGGGTGATCGCTGCAGACTACGGCCGAAGGTGTGCTCCGTTCCTGGCACCCCTCGTGTGCCGTGCAGTACCAGGAGCGCTGCCGGCACCACCTCTGGTGGCGATAGTGCCAGGTACTGATGGTGCTGCTGCCACCGCCGGTGTTGAGGTAGCCACCCTAACTGACGACCATCGTGGGAGCAACAAGAAGTATTTTTTCTAGCTGCCTAGGCAATGAGCAATTGTTTTGAGAGGGACCTTCCCTTGGATTTGTAGTTTCCTTTTTGGTTAGAAATAGTTCTTCGTATGTTACACCCACTGTCCATTCTTGTGTTATGTCCAATGAGAATTAGTTGTGTGTGTGGTGTTAGGTCCAAACGATCTATTTGTTGACTGTGATTGTGATCGCGCCTGCCGCTGCCAATTAAAGCCCTACCATAAACACCTATTGGAATGGTAAATACAAGCATGCGCAGCACCAAAACTCACCCAACAGCTACTAACATGGGGTACGAAAACAGTCTATTTAGGTAGCGTTTTTGTAAAATTCCAAGCAAGAGGAACCAGAAACTTACATGAACACCTATAGGTGGCGGCGAGCACAGATGCGGTCATAGGCGTGGCCTTCCCCGAGCCTCCCTGCACAACAGCCACCGATTAGTGTTGCCTCCGTGTGTCGCGCCGTCACAATCCCTAGCTTCAATATGCAACCACAACAGCCGATTCTTACCTCCGTGCGGAACCACCACCGCCGAACGTGGCTGCCTCGCCTTCGGGGTAGAGACATAGGGCGCCAGCACACCACCGCGCTGGGGAGCCGCCGCGCCGATATAGGCCGTGCGCTCTTGTTTGCCAGCTCACTCTTGTTCTTGTATATTCAACTGGCAGCTCACAAATTCCCCTTTTTCAAAATGCTTGACACATAAAGTGGAAATTAACATATTCTCATGCACAGCACCTGAGCATTTTTGTGGATATATTTGTCACGCGATGTTGATTTTCAAAAACATCGACGAAGCTTGCTTGCAGCATGGTAGTTTTCCCACAATTTCTATAGCCTTGTGCTTCAGACGCACACCGAAACTGAGCACTTTGCTTGACCTCACATTCAGAGATCAAATTGTTAAATATGTACAACCACTCATTGATCTGGTAGCATATGAACTGCACCCTGCTAAATCATGTTTTCACAATCCAAACAATTTTGTCCATTTTAGGATTCTACATTTAGGCAAGTTTGCAGCAATCAAAATTCAGAACAAACCATAAGATGCAACATGAAAATTCAGTTCCAGGCTTCATGTCTCCTGTCCTAATGAATTATTGTAGATAAGATAATACTACATTGCAGCCTATACAGCAGTTTAAGGCCTGAATTTTGATGGTTGAGGTACAAACCAAATTCGATTCAAAAGTAAGCGGTTCCTACTTGCCAACCCAGACCAGGAAACCCTAAAATATAGAAATGAACAGAAGTTGCAAACACATTTGAGGGTTCATAGTGGAGGTGCATTGTGGTAATGGCAAGGTAATAGTTGTTACCTTGTCTTTATAAAGTTTGTGGTGCATGTCTTTTAGGGGCTGTTGATTTTGGTCCGGTCATTTCTTTTAAACTTTCCAGGTGATCAGTTTATCAGGTTTTTAGCAGGTGCGTGTGTGTGTGTCTAGGTCTATGTACGACTCTTTCTTTTCCTTTTAATGAAATGATACACGGCTCTCCTGCGTGTTCGACAAAGAAATGTATGGTCCACCCTATAAATTGGAAGCCGTATAAATTTAGGTGTAAAATTGGAAGCTGTATAGGTTCTCTGTTGTCCTAACTGAACATATAGCTGCATTCACCGAGCATGTTATTAGGTCAACAAGGTCCACCATTAAGCCCATCGCCATATTACATGACCTCATTGGTGAAGTGTCACATCAAAAGGATATCTCCCTCTCATAAACAAACAGTCAGCTCAAACCGAAAACTCCAACATCCAGGTGAGCCGGCCAATCCACTAACACCACCATCCCACTGGAAACGCTAATACACTATCCTCGCTACCATATCTAAGACACTAAAGATCCAAGCACAGTTATGGACAGCGTCTGACATGATCAATCCAAACCTAGCCAATTTACCCTATTGAGTAGAGGTGTAGGCGAATGACAAACAAGGGCAAGGGTACTCAGTAACTCGGTACCTTCTTCGTATTCGCATCTGAGAACTCCCATTTCATGTCCGGCTTCTTCTCCGGCGAATCAAGGTCCTGCAACAACAATAGAAAATATAAACTCGGTTGAGCTATCAACCACCAACCAGATCAGGCAAACGCAGGGGGAACACATCCGAGAAGTGCTCACGTAGTTAGGAACCATGGAGAAGGCCCTGGTGCTGGAGACGGAGCCTCTAGAGGCGGCGGCGATCTAGACGGAAAATTTCCCGCAGAGGAGATCAGACGATTAGTTTGGGGAAATAGTGGGGGTAGGGTTTGGGCAGAGAAGAGGACTAACCGGAGACGAAGCTAGACGACGGCCGGTTACTTCCGACCCAGACGCGGAAGCGAGGCCGAGGAGGCAGCGGGCCACGAGGCACGCGGCCGGTGGCAGCATGGTGGCGTGGACGACGGGGGAGACGACAGAGCGGGTGGTGGTGGAGGTATCGGCGTGTGGCTACCTTGCGGAGCCTGCAAGGTTAGGAGAAGATGCGATCCGTCTTCCACTCTCGTTGCGTCGCTAAGCCAGGAGCCCTACAGGCCCAATGGGCCACATCTAACTGTCCGGCCCCATTTTTTAGTTGGGCTTAGAGTCTGTTCCGTGAAAGACTGCTAACGTAATCAGGAGCCCTCTGGTTATGCCACCCGAACTTTCCAGTGTTTTTTGTCGAGTCTTGGCTGTTTACGCTGTTTCTTTCTGATTTTTAGTGGTGGAAACCGTCTGGCCTTCTCCTTAACAGTAGCCCTCGCAAATTATAGATGGCACGATGGAAGGACAGAGCACATGCAGGCGCTTCTCCTTGCCAGTTTTTACAGCGTCTCGCTGAAGAGGTTAAGGCATTTGCCGCTTGGTTGTGCTCCCTCTCTACTTGAAACACTTCAAGTCTCCTACAACAAGCACATAACCCGCAGCGAAGCGCGGACAACAGTGGTTGGGGTTGGTGGACACATTTAATGTCTCTCCTCCTTACCATCAGATAAAAACAATTCACCGATCATGCAGCACCATTTGTACTTACACATGCATCCATGCATGTGCACGTTGCTCCCAAGATGGTCGGTGGTTGGGGTTGGTCGCCATTACAACAGCTACCATAATTGCATCTGCATCCATGCTTGCAGAGGCTCTCGTTCCTTGTGCCTTTGTGCTTTGCGTCCCCTGCGGTTACGCCTACCATGACCCAAGTCTCCCCGCACTCTTTTTTGGGCCCTTGTCGGAACCTTGGCTTGCAGACATATTAGTCCTTAATGTCCTTGGACATCGCTCACCTCGAACGCATAGGACGTGCATTAATGCATAGCCTGTTTGTGCATTATTGTGCCGTATTGTTGACAGATACGCCATCCATAGGTGTCACGCGTGTCATAGTGTGCATGGCCTACTCGTGCTTGTTTCAGAGTTAGGTCTGCACTGTGTCTTTGTGCTACGAGCTCGCCCGTGAGTCACGTCAGTAGTGACCCACGTCTCCTTGTAACCCTTTTCTGCGCTCTTGTCGGACCCTTGCCCTGCAGTCGTACTACTTAGTAATGGCACCGCACGTCACTCGCCTCGAACGCGTGGAATTTGGTCGATTGGTTCGTAGTGATCCCACGCAATAACCCTGGTGAAGCGCGCCAGGACCACAGACCACTCCGCCTTTATAAGCAGAGCCTGGCTTAGCCATTGGTACCACCACTCGTCGCACTTTAGCTCGCTTAGATTTTCCCTTTGACCAAGCTTTTTGCTCATCCCTTCTTTGTAGCCACCGCTAGAAATGGCAGGAGCCTGGGTTGGTAGTTACTGCCCGAACGTTGAGGGTTTTCCTAGAATCCTGCATGCCACCCTACAAAAGCTCGGAGTCAAAGATCGTCCCGAGTATGAGGGCCGTGAGTATGAGAAGCATGGCACCGATCGGTGTGAGGTTACCGTCTACATTGGCAAGAGTGAAGAGTTCCCTGACATCACTGAAGCCTGGAGTGTGACCGCAACCGGGTTTAGCTTCACCGACACCTACCAGGTTGTGGCCCGCAAAGCCTTGCGGTACCTTTGCCAGCTCTATGAAGAGCCCATTGCCCATACCCCCATGAGGTTCTTTCCACCCTTGGATAGGAATCAGCGGGCATGGAGGGCTCGCATGGAGGCTTTGCGAGGGCGGGATGCGCAAGAAGATAGTCCTACCGTGGTCCACTTGACCACGTACCTGCTTGCTCTGGATGAGTAGTATGACCGGCAAGCCTTGGAGATGAGGGCGTGCCTCCGGCGCACCGAAGAAGCCGAGATCTTCACTCGGATGCTCCAGGTGCAGCTCGACGAAGCGTATGCCAGTGCTGCAGCTGCTGAGAGCCGGGAGACTGCCATGTCAGAAGCTCTGAAGGAGGTCGAAGATCGTCATGTTCATCAGCTGGGTGAGGCCTATCTGTTCACTAGGGCCAAGCGGAGGACGCTGGTTGATGAAACGCAGGATGCCACGATCTTGGAGGGGATCCCTATCCACCCGCCTGAAAGAAGGAGAACTAGTGATGCAGAATCGCCAGCACCTCCACCTTCGGAACTGTTAGGAGCAGAACCCTTGGTTCCTCTCACTCAGCCATCGGCACGAGGAGATGCAGATCCATAGCCAGAGCGGCAGAAAAATCCGCCGAGCACAGAAATAAAGATGCGTAGTTCCAAGGTAGATTAGTTGCCTTGGGATGCTGTACCCGTAGTAGTAGTGCTTTTCATCGCTGTCCTCCTGTATTGTACTCTTGTCGTTGTTGTCATCCGTAGTTATTGCATGCGTGTTGTAGTTTCGCCTAAGGAGAGTGGATCTTAATTCACTTTTTTGTAAACCCTCGCGTTAGGAAAAGTACTTGTGTTGTAGTTTTTCTATTTTCACCTATAATGTAATCATATCCAATGTTGTACTTTAAATATAAGTGTGTTAGTTGCTTGAGCCCAATTCATCAAGTACTTATTTCCACTAACATGTCATTTATTTGCTGGCCTAGAATATGCACCATGTAATAACAACCAACCTCTATGTTCATTTACGGTGTTGAGACCAACCTTCCATACCAACACGATGAGAAAACATATTTCCTATACCAAGCACATCACCTGCAGCGAAACATGGGCAGCAGTGACCGGTATATATGCACGCACGCAACAAGCAAAAAAAAAAGATCAACTCAACATGAAAAAGACTGTTTGGTCGGTGGAGTATCTATCTACACTAAAAAAAGTACACGGAGCGGCAAAGGTATCGTACTGCCCCGCTCTGCTCAGCCATTTTTTTTAACTCGCTCCTCCCAATCTGAATCGGATATCAAATCAAATCAAATTGTTCTAAATCCGAACCAGAAAAAAGAAAATATCAAATCAAATAAAATCAGAAAAAATACAAGTCAAATATGCAGGGTATCCTCGTACCGCTCCGTCCTCCTCAGCTGGCGCCCTAGATAATATTGATATTTATATCTCTAAATATTTTTATAATATTGATATTTATATCTCTAAATAAATTTATTATAAAAATATATTTTATAACTAATCTAATAATACTAATTTTGCATTAGGAATGTTAGTATTTTTTTATATAATTTTGGTCAAAGTTCAAACTGATTGACTTTTCAGGAAGCGAGAATTACATTGTTCTGTGGACGGAGGTAATACCTTTTAAAATTTTTATTAGGCAATAAATATTTATATCTCCTTATAAAAATACTCCACTACTTATTACATGTCGTAAATATTATTTATATATATATCCAATGACGAGGGGGGAGTACCGAGTAGGGGTATGAACAGTAGTTAAATGACCCCTACTCCCCCGCTGACTCACTGACATCTAGGACAGTAGGACTTCCGCTACTATAGACATAGGTGTCCAAGTTCCACCCAAAGTGAGACGTGCAACGGGAAAGCCGAGCAGAGAGCAGAGGCCATGGTATGGCGTCCACCGACAACGTGGCTACAGTGCACCGACCGTCAGCGTCCATCGGCACAGGCTTTGGTGCGCGAGCCCGTCTCGTCCTGTCCTAGGGCCACGTTCCCATGCAGCAGCGTGCCCCGACGATCCGGCGGTGCCGTGCCGTTGCCTGTTGCGGCGTCCGGTGTTGGCGTGTCAATCAGGTCGCCATCGATGGCCTCATCATCCTCGGCCCGGGCGCGGTAGGCAGACGGCCAGGCGCGGGCTGCCGCGCCATCGATCAGGGCGCGACAGCCGCGTCAATATCGGTGGCGTGGTAGACCCTGTCACGTCACCGGTCAGCGTACTGGTCGTCGTCACGTCATCTCTCTCGCCGCATCACCATGCATGGCGCGGCACAGGCGTTTCGCCGCGCCAGAAAAATAGGCGCGGCAAAAAGTGTTAGTTTAAAAAAAAAACAATGTTAGATTTAAAATTAATTTAAAAAAGTGTTAAAAATAAAAAAATACTCCCAGGTACCGAGCTTCGTCGCGCCTCTGGGCCCTGCGTACTTCTGCCGTCCGCCTGTCCCTGACTCCCTGTCCCTCCCGTCGCCCATCGCCGAATCAGCACCTCTCCACTCCATTTATTTAGTCCATGCCCGGTGAGTGATCCTCGGATTTAATCCTCAATCAAATTATTTATATGTAAAATTGTGAACTGTCAGATTATGCAAATAAATGAATTATAGGTAATAATGGAGTGGTATTATAAAACAAAAAACTCAAGGCACGATCGATGCTAATAGAATTTCATGTCCAGGTGCTGAGGGACCTTAGTCACCAATTTCAACTCTAAGAGGTAATGCAACGCATCTACTTTTAATGAATAATTCTACATTTTCTTTGCTAAATAATTGACCTATTTGTTCTCTTTTCTTTAAGTTGGATCACATATTTTGCTATATAGGACATCTTTTGTTCACTGTTTTTCCATTCTTTCAATCACTACACTAAAGCGATCAATGTCATCTTTATTTTGTTATAAATGTTGAGTGTTATTGCCTTTGCCCTTCTAGTTTGCTTATGTTTTGACCAAAATCACATTGCCATTACTGGAAGTTGAATTTTGATGTTAAAAATTGTGAATTAGTTATGTTATTTGTTTGAACATCATATGGGTCACTGTATTCATGATGAAGTTGGGCACTCCCACCCATTTGCTCTAGCTTTGCCCCTGCTTTTGAATGATTAAAAATATTTTTTTATTGTTTTTGGAATGATCCCATCAGCCATCAGGTCTAGATGATGTCAAAAAAAATTCCTGCCTGTAAACTATCGTTTCAGTTTTACTGCACCACTAGAGTCATATCTCTGCACACTAAGCTGAGGACTACTTTGTAACTTAATGACTGGCCAGTGGCTAAAGTAAACGAGTCAACAAAATATAGCTGTCCTAGAAAATTCAAGATACCAGCATCTAAAATCATACAACTAGTAGAAGAAGAAGAGGCCAGTTTTGATTGGTCATTTGACCTGAGAGAATTGCTTTTGTGTCTGTCTCCAGCTTTCTCACTGTCTCGAAGGAATAACTTCCCCCTGCATGCACCTGCAATTTATGGAGTTTGCAGAACAGGGTATTAAGAGTGATGGAGGGTTGGACTGTTTGGGTTGGGGTTTCTCCTACTGTTGGGCTATCAGGTTGAAATCTTATTTTCAGATACTATCAAACCGTCGCTACTTAAAAGGTCCGACTCTGTTAATTAATTTACAGAGATGAGGGTGTCTCCATAAATGGGACCACAGTCTCTTATGACGGCTAGACATTTTAGTTAATTTACAGAGATGAGGGACGGAGACACGGTTTCTTATGATGGCCCGACATTTTAGAAAATGGACTCTCAGTTAGCCCGTCTCTAAAGATCAAGAGCCTTGTCTTCTAGAATATTTTTTTTGTTAGTCAATACTTGTGAGATACGATAAATATCACTAGATTAATGATGATATTTATTTTTGTAATAACCTATTTAAAGATACAAATGTTTATACTTTTTTTTATTAATGGGGTCAAACTTGTGTTAGACTTATTAGGAGGCCATATTTCCATTTTTTGATAGAGGGGTACCATACTTATATAAACAAAAGAAGTACATTGTGACACAAATGAAACAAAACACAAGCCCACTAAAAAGGCCTAATGATTGTTTGGTTTAAAAGTAACTCTAAGAGACTCTTTATATTCTTCCTAATTTATAGACATAAAGATTTTGATGAAACAATAGTCTCCAACAGACTCTTTGATCTCCAAATATATAGACATCCTCTATTCTAAATTTCTCGCTAGCCAAAGATTGAGAGCGAGAATAACTCTATAGTGTACGCACATATATATAGAAAAATTGTTGGAGGATATAAAATATAGAAAGCGACTTTTACTCAAATGACACTATAAATTATGATTTAAACAGTAAATTTTAAAAGGGATGTTGAAGATGCTCTACAACCATATTTAGGTGGAGCTAATATTACCACCGCGCCGCAGTATATCATCTCGTAAGTTTTTTTTCCCACAAAATACAACAAAATGTTGTGGTCCGATTTTTTTTATAGGTTCCAGACTGATTAATATATAGTACTCCCTCTATTCCATGTTACTACATGTTTTGACTTTACATTTATATTTGCATAATGTCCAGATATATAGTGAAAATATTATATTAAATAAAAAGCCAAAAACGTCGGAAGTAGTGCGTTGCATGCTCTACATGCATGCACTACCCCTCATGAGCCCCCAACCGATTCATTAGCCTTCTCCTTGAGAAGCTCCCACACGTCCCGGACATGGCGCATCTCGGTCATGGCCCCGCCAGCGGCGAGCCGGATGACGAACTGGCCGTCCATGACAAAGTGCGTCATGAACGCCCGCCCGCTCGCATTCACAGCAGCAAGGAGCTGGCGGTTCAGACCATCCACCGCGTCATCATCGATCCCGAGCCGCGGGCGGAGACGGAAGCACACCAGCGAGAAGTTCCTCGGCACCACGACTTCGAAGCGCTCGTCCGCCACCACTGCGAGCTCGAACCACTCGGCATCCGAACATGCCTCCGGATGTAGTTGCGCATGCCCGCCGCTCCATAGCGCCGCAGCACCACCCAGAGCTTGATGGCGCGGAAGCGTCGTGACAGTGCGATCTGCCAGTCCTTGTAGTCGATGGGTGACACATCACCGCCGCTGCCGACGTCCTTGAGGTACTCCGGGTCAGTGGACAGTGCGCTGGTGTGAGGGCTGTCGGATCTGCCACCCAGAGGTAGCAGCAGTCCATGTTGGTGAGGAACCACTTGTGTGGGTTCATGCTCACCGAGTCGGCGAGCTCGGCGCCATCGAGGTGACCCCTGAACTCTGGGCAAATCGCCGCGCTGCCGGCGTACGCGGCGTCAATGTGCAGCCACATTCCTGTTATTTGTTGGAAATATATATAGTTATAAGAATCATGTCTCTTGTCAGGTGACAGTTACTGAGTATCTATGAAATCGTTTCAACACTTGAGCTGTGGTCCATTTTAGTGCATACTCCCTCTGTCACTAAAAAAGAGCCATTCTCTCTAACTTTAACCAAATATATTTAACAAAATAATAATATTTATGGTATATAATTAGTATCATTATGTAGATTGTTAAATATACTTTTATAATAATTTTATTTGGAAATATAAATGTTGCACATATTTTCTATAAATTTAATCAAAGTTGAGAAAGTTTAACCAACATGATTTGAGTAACGACTCTTTTTTAGCGACAGAGAGAGTACGTGCATCAGTACGACCAGTGCACGCCTTGCGTGCATGAGTGGGCGTACCATAACAGCGCGCCACCTGACCGAGCTCGCGCACTGGGTCAATGGCGCCGAGACCGGTCGTGCCGATGGTGGCGCACAGGTACAGCTAGAGGAACCAGTCCACGGGCGACGTCCTCCTCGACCGCCGCTCGGACAGTGTCGGCAGTCAGGCCGTACCCGGACTCCGCCGTCGTGCGCAGGACACGGAAGTTCGCCGGAGGGATGCCGACGATCCTGGCACCCTTCTGGAAGGTGGCGTGGGTCTGGTCGGAGGCGTATACGACCATCCTAAGGATGGCTGCATGGCCGAGCCTGCTGATCGCACGGTCGCGCGCAGCGGCAAGGGTGCACACCACGGCCTCGCACGTGCTCCCGTACAGCACGCCGCCGCCGCCTCCCACGAAGCGGAATAGCTCCGGTAGTCCGAGGAGCCCGGCCATCCAGTTCACCACGACCTGCTCCAGCTCGGTGGCCACGGGCGACGCCTTCCACACGAATGGCACGACGTTGAGGCCGGCCGATAGCATCTTGCCGGCGAATCCCGCGCCACTCGCGTTCGCTTGGAAGTAGGCGAAGAAGCTGGGGTTCTGCCAGTGCGTCAGCCCCGGGAGGACGTCGCGCTGCACGTCGTCAAGGATTCGGTCCATGGACTCGCCCGTCTCGGGCGCCGCGTCGGGAAAAACCTTGCGGATGGACCCTGGCTTGGTGTCGGGGGCCATGACCGGGTACCGCTCGATGTCGCGGTAGTAGCGGGCGAGGAAATCGACCACGGCGGTCGATTCCTCGGCGAATGTCTCCGGGTTTAGTGGGAAAAGGGCGTCGTCCAGTGGAAGGCTACCCATGGCCAGGTACACGCAAAGACAAAAATTCACGACGTAGAAGGAAACTAGCTAGGGTTCACAGAAGCACCGGATGACTAATGCGGCGATTTGCTTTGGAAGCTTGGCTTCATTTTTGTTCATATATAAAGACCCCTGCATTATTAAGCCACGTAGACCACGAAGGACCAAGTAGGCCACGAAGACGACGGCACTAATGGTAGCAATGTACTCAGATCACGACCTCATGACTTTCCAGATTTGGTTGAGATTGGAATGCTGTACCAGATAGATGCATGACCACAACCTCCACGTGTCTGGAACACTGAGCATGTGTTTGGTTTCCAGACGACGTGGAATGTTTTGAACATATCCCAGTTTTTAGGGTTAAGTTAGACCCATCTCATGTTTGGTTTGAGGGGTGGAGCCATTTCAATTTTTTGTTTGGTACGAGGGATTGAGCGGGTCACGATGAATGGTATTTCAACTCCGTTAGCTGCTACTAGCCGTGAGACCCAGCTGTCAAGCACTCATCCACCACCTACTTCCCTACGAGCAGATCCCCAATCCGCCCTGCTGCCCAGCATTGTGGCTCATGGGGCCACTCCCCCTACCCCGATGGAGGAGCGCCGCGCCATGCCACCAGCAGCCAAGCCCCACCCCGACGATGGAGCGCCGCGCCACCGGTGGCCGAGCCCCTGCCCCGATGGCGGCAACGATGGAGTAAAGCCGCATGGCCTGGCACTTGCGCTCACGCGGCCCAGTCCAGTCCGTCTCCCGCTCGCTTTGCACCTGCACAGATAGAGGAAGAAGACAGAGGCAGACAGGCGTTCAACTGGGTAGGCACGGTTCCTTTTGGAGAAACCGGATGAATCCGCATACTGGGAGAATATTCCCAGGTAGAACCTACCCAATCCTTTTGGCTCTCAATCCAAACACCCTATAAACCGGGTCCAACCCATTCCAACCCTGATAAAACCTCGAACCAAACAGGAGCCTGAGATTTGCATAGGGGTCGATTCGGATCGGATCCGCACAAAATCAAATATGGATCCGCATGGAAACGAACCTAGTAGTAGGCCACAAAGACAACAATGGCACTAATTAGGCCTTCCGCAGTGTACGGTTGAGCCGATGACCCAAATGCCTTTTTGGACTACCACACTACTACAGTAAGCATTTGTAGGAACGGCTGGTGATGATTTGTAGAGACAGTTTTAGCAGCTGCTCCTACTATACCGTCTCTATAAAGGGACTGAACGGGCTGTTTTCAAGCCGCCCCCACCAGCCGCCTCTAAAAATGTATTTGTAGGGGCGGCTGGTAACAGCAGCTGCCCCTATAATTTTTATTTGTAGGGGCGGTTGAATTTAGAACCACCCCTATAGTACATTTTTCCGCAAAAAAAAAAAAATCAAATTGAACCGCCCCTACAGTACATTTTCTCGCCAAAAAAATTCAAATCTGATTAGAACATATATATGCATATATAATTCAAACATTGTATCCACAAGCACAAGAATATTATATAAACATTACAAGTCCAATTCACATGGACAAATATAATTCACCGTTACATAGACATAATTCACAAATCCAATATGTTCCACAATTCCAATCCGTTCCACAAGGTAAGACCAATGTCATATTTCATACGCATTGTTATCAAGTGCCTAGAGCTAGTCTTTCTGTCTCACGAAGATGTTGGTACTGAGGATGCCTTCCTTACTCGGATTTTCGGTCATGATAATTGCCTCTTACGTGTATAATCTGGTTCTATATTAATGAACATAAAGTGAAGCATAATCTAGAAAGAGGGCCTAGCGTGTGTGTGAAAACACTATGTCTGGTGAGTGTAACTTACTTTAGTACTCCATTATGTTGGTGTCGAAAGCATTACTTAATATTTTTATATGCGAAACACATAGTGCGCCAAGCAGAAGCCCGGGAGCCTACACTGTGGATATTACGTATGAACTTTGATGAGTAACACTGGTACCTACAAGAGACACCCCTGTAGGGTAGGTTTTAACCTCTTTAATTGTGTTTATATATCCTCACTATTTTTACATATGTTCACTTGTTTAATTGTAGTGGCAAGAAGAGAAAGGAATGAGAGCCGACCCGCACAAAGATGACAACCTCTTGGAGCTTGTCGGCTACCTTTGCGCCTTCATATACGGATAAGCTCTTTTAGATCGAACAATATATCAAACAAAAATTTAAGTATAGAGTTGAACTTACTCGAAGTTGTATGGCAGTCATATAACAGAGCAATTTTGGAGATTTTTAAAAGCTAGGGCAATGTATGTCGCAACCTTAAGGGCCGCTTGACGTATTTCCTTGTTCCGGATTCTCTCTTTCTCCTCAACAGTCTTTCCGGCAGCTAGCTCATTGCCATCCAATTTGCAGTCCTTGGCGTAATTAAAACATGTTGCTGCTATACATTGAGGGTCTACGTACCCAGCTCGCACACTTGACATTTGTTTTGAAAGGTGCACTTACATTCTAGAAAGGTAGTCGTGGGTTAGTAACTTAGTATCAACAAAATTCAAAGATTACAATAGTATCATATCGAGAAGGCAAGGACTTACAGGCACCACGTGCGAATTAGATTCGTTTTTATTGCTTCGAGGTGAAAGCATGTCTGCACGTCATTAAAGTCAAAGATAATTTTTCCGTCTAGGCCTCCAAATATGCCGGCAGGGAAGCGTGCTTGTATGAGATCTATGGTCATTGGGATAACACAAAAGTACCAATTATGGAACCTTCTCATTCCAAGTGGTAAGCGCTGGATGTCCCGGTTTGGTAGGAAGGGCTTGCCTCTTTCATATATTTTCGGGCAATCATTTGACCATTTGATGGCATCAACATTTGGATACTTCTTTGCCGGTTGTTGTTTGCTGGTGATGGCTTCCTCAGAAGCCCGTGCTGGGACTTCTTTAACTTGGTTATCAGGCTTGAACTGGTCATGGCTATACCACTTGGCCATGGACGTGATGTCTCTCATCGACTTAAAAATTGGCCTTATGATGATTGGATGCAATTTTTGAATTTCTGGCTCCTTATCCCAACCCTCTTATGCATGCACTTCTTCAGGAGGCCCTTGTTGTTCATGTATCGGGTCCATATCAAGCCCTTGCTCCTTACGAGGCGGAGAAGGCTGTGGCATCCCAGGCACGTGCTCGGTAGGAGGCAGGGAAGATTGTAGCATAGGCTGTGGCATCTCATGCACGTCCTCACTAGGAAAGCGGGGAAGAATGTGGCAGCTTAGGCAAGTGGTGGTCACGAGATGGTAAAACTACCTCCCCCTCCTCAACTCCCTCCAAATGTTGAACAGGCGATGAAGAAGCAGTCAATACAATATCATGTTTGTGCTAGAGGATGAACTGGTTCATTACTTCTCCGAGTAACTGTTGTCCGTCGGGAGTTGGGTAGTCTATGTGCCACTACATGAACTCGGTCTTCATGGTATGCACCTCGACCCTAGTGTAGTCCAGTGGGATCCTATTATTGTGATGAAAGCTGTCAGGAGAATGTGCCACACCCGTTGCCACCTCCATCATCGTGTTCTGCCTACCAATGAGAACCACCAAGGTGCAAGTAGTTGGTTCCCATATGCAATCGATGGGGGTTGTGGCTACAGTGGAACCTTGGCTGCTAGGAACTTCTGGAGGGCTGCCAACTACTGCCAGATCTCTAGGCGGTGCCATTACTGTCCTTGGCTCCGTAGACAGTACTTGCTCCTTCAGCGCCTTCGCAACTAGAGCCTTCACGGTGAGCTCAAGATTAGACTCTCGGTCTCTGCTATGTACCTTGTTCATGTGTTGGTACTCTTCGAATCCGTGTTTCTAGGTTGTTCTTTTCCCTAGCCCCCTGGTGCGGCCTGCGTGCTCGAAGTTTTCCAAGGCAAGGCTAAGCTCGTCCCTCTCTCTGGAAGGCTTGAATGAGCCCTTCTCCCTGTCTTCAGCATATTTCAGTCTTTGATACTGCCTCTTCGGTCACCGAGTTATCAAACTTAAGGGAAGTGTTGGATGCATCTGTACTCCTCCGAAGGATCTAATTCCTTGAGCATAGCTTCAACCCCTTCAAGTTTAATTTCTCGAATGCGGTGGCCTCTTCCTCCATCTTCCTAAACTTCTCTTCCTTGCCATAGTAGCCACCGGGACCTAGATGGTGGTGGTGTTGGTTCCTCTTCGCTAGCTCGATGTTACGGGCACTGAGGGCCAATGCTTCAGGTGTAGTCTTCTGAGCCACGAGCTCCTCCCATTGACTAGGAGTTATGTTGCCGAACTCGTGGAAGGGAGTTAACCCCTTTTGGATATACTTCTTGTTTAGGTCCGACCTCCAACGTCGGAATGACTCTTCCATTATCTTAAAAGCATGAAGTTTCAACAGTTCATGCTTACCCTCTAAAAATCTAAAATTGAGCTTCAGCTTCTTATCCCATAGTTCTCCCTTTTTCTTCGTTGGTACATCTTTCCAGCTAGGAATTGCTGGGTTCAATTGATCTCTTACTAGGGCCCCGGTCACATTACGGAATCATCCTCTGAATTCCTTAGGCTCAAGTATCTCCCCTGCTGGTCTGACCTCCGTTATCACATAACAAGCCTTATCTGGATATTGGTTTGCTTTTCTATCCCCCCGTTTCCTCTTCGGCTTGGGAGTCGAGTTTGTGGTCGTGTCTTGAGGTTGTGGAGCAGAGGCCTCAATGTCTGTCTCTGTGGCTGTTGCCTCTGCTCTCCTTTCCTCTACTCTATCTTGTCCGGCGAGATGTCGTGGACGTCGATGTTGTCTTTTCTGAGTTTCAGGAGGGCCTATATGTACGGGAGGTCAAAGTGTTAGTAATTATAACACAACCAAAGCTTTAGCAAAATTTACAAGCTAAGGCTTTATCCCTACCTCCTCATTCGGGTCAAAATCCTTGTCTAGCTTCTTCTCCGTTAGACTCCGTCTGGCTTCACGTGGGAAAGGATCATCGAGACTTTCATATCCCTCTTCTTCATCCTCATCATCGTTGTCTTCA